GTAAAACATGTTAAGTATTTTTTTTTTTTTTTAAATTAGCAGAACTTTTTTTACTGCAAAATGAATGCAATAACTACATACGATACTTGATAATGTTTGTATCAGCTGACAACCATGCGTGACAACTTCAAACGCTATTCATATTCAAAGTAGTTAAATTAATAGTGAGTTTGTAGTCCCTAACCAAATTATACGTATAGTTGTCAAAACCTTTTTAGTTTTTTATTCAATTCGTTCTCGTAGGCACTTCGTAAATAGTCAGAGGTAAACATTTGAAGAGGATATGCGAGCGCGTTTTATATATACGATAATGTGAAATAATAACATACAAGAGTCATATTAACTTATCCTTTTTGTTTTACCGTGTAGACGAACGACGTTATACCCACTTGTTACATACAGATATGAAATAAAGTTTAAATTTGTTTTCATGAATTTGTCCGAGCTTATGTGATTATGGCAAAAAGTATCCCCGTATCAGACAAATATTCGTGTTTTAAATAGTTTTATGTGATGTTAGAGTTTGAAATGTTCCCGAATGATATGTGTGTGTTTGCCTTTGAGTCCGGATCAATATCTCAGAATTCTTAAATCTTGACAGGGTCAAAATCTCTACAAGATCTAAATTCACCAATCAAAGTGTCATTGAAATGTCATTGAGTATTCTGTATTCTTATAGAAATTATTTGCTATAGATACAATATAATTTAGACGTGTACTGTAAGGTACGTAATAAATTGTGTGTTTTTATCGGTCGGTAGTTCGATTTTGGGATTTTGACTGTTAGGATCTTGAACACTTCCCTGTGACTTTATCATTCAATAATATCCCTCGATGACCTCTGACTTAAAACCCACAACATGACTTATCTATCTCATTCATATCCGTTACTATCTTGCACATTATCATTGCTATTTCGCTGACCTAGAACTTCGCGAACGTTTCTAAATGTCCTAGATAATGTTACTCGAATTCTTTCTTCGAATTTTTTTTTGAACGGTCGAGAAATTGCTATGTTCGATAGCATATCTGGCTAGATTAGACGTGCACGCATCAGTTATATTTTAAAAGTATAAAAGTGAAAGTCATATTTTAACAGAAATATTAACAGGTTATCATATCCCTATACTAGATAGTAATAATATAATCTAGTAGAGTTGTAATAGTAAACTAAACATTAAAATTATTTGATGTAATTTTTCTTTGAAAATAACACGTGCAAAAACTATACAGCCGCGTAAATTACCTTTGATTCGATTAGATGTTCAATTTGTAGTTTAATATTATTCAACTTTGAATGACATTAATAACACGTATTTCGTTATAAATAAACATTGAAAATCGACCGTGTTTGAACAATCAGCACTTACCTGCAAACAGAAAACATATATATTATTATTGTACCCTATTTATTCGAATAAATCAATAATATGTATAATATTTATTTTTCCGATTTAATAGATTCATCATAGTTCATCTTTTACCTATCAAATCGTGGTTAAATTTCAAATGTACCGACAAAAACTTCTCTATTATTGATATCGAACAGGTACTGTAATCCTATTCAAATTGGTAATGAAAACAAGTACTCAATGATAGTAAATTAATATTAGGATTTTTCCGATGGCCATTTCACAAAAGTAAAATTAACTCAACCGTCACTTCAGTAAAGTGTAACATTTCGTGTTGACACAACCGAAACATTGGAACATTAAACAAAGCATAATACTATACGACTGTTAATTTTATCAACAAAATCTTTATATTTTGTCTTTTTACTATTCGATGAACATATGCCATTACTAATAATTTGTATTTTGTTTTTCTGTGCTTATGCACTAACGTACGTTGATTTAAAATTGATCGAATCCTAAAATATTTCACTGTAGTTTCGCATAAATAATACATACAATAATACTACCTATACGTCTATACATTACACTTTTAGTAGGTATTCCCTACTTAAAAGACGAAGGTTGAAAAATGATTTATACAATTTTAAATAACGGATTTTCGCATTGCATGTTCTCGCTCATATTTGTATTGGCTTATTTTGTTTTTGGTTTTGGACTTTCACGTATTCACGTTCGCTCTTTTGCATCCGCTTTATTGGCAGGATACCATTATCTACCATACTACCCGATGACGATATTTCGTTGTATATTTTTCTGTCCGCTGTCTGAAATTTCGTATCGTTAAAAATGCACGTTTCAGCTTGATAATATAAATAATCCTATTATCACACCACAGTTCTTTCGGGGCTTCTCTCCGCTCCATCAAACATAAATTATGGACTGCGCCTGAGTGCCGGAGTTCAACGGCCGGATCACCGCCGTCGGTTATGATGGAAATCCGTCGTTTATCCGCGTCGGTCTCGGAGAATTTAAAAGATTACCCGTGTAAATGTCCCGTTTCCGCTCTACCCAGCCCGTCGCCCGATAATATCGCAAGCGTGCCGATAGAGTGTAGCGCTCGCCACTCGGGATCGGTCGCTCGAGACGCTCGGCGGTTGTTAACGGCGGACGGACGGCCGTCCGAGCGACGGACCGGCTCGATCCGCCGCGTAAATTTTTGCCCCGAACGATTTAATATATTAATCGGGAACTCCCGGCGGAGAAATACGGTGTGTGTGTGTACATAGGTAATGGATTAGCCGTATGCGTAAATCACGGGTACGGGAATATAATGTCATACGATTGCGGCACGGGTCGTACGGGTACACGCCGAGCCGGTTCCGCGGCCGTTGTAGCGCAGCCAAACCGAGTGTTCGTGTAAACTGTTTTCGATTGGCGAAATATTATTATTATTATAACAATCGGTACGATATTGTAACGGCAGTTATTATGACGCGGTATGGTGTAACGGAACGGGACTTGATGGCCGCCTGCACCGGCGTCGGTAATGCACGCCGGCGCGGCTCTAAAAACGTATTATTCGCCGATAAATTACGCCGGTCGGTCACGATACCCTATCGATATATTATTACGCGCCTAATAGTTATACTGTAACTATTACACGCCGGACCGGGGGAGGGGAGGGGGGGGTAATATTTTGATCTGTACCCAAATTTACCCAGGCCCGTCTACGCGCGAGTTCAGAGGCAGGCCAACCTTTTCGAAACGTTCGCCCGAGTCGTAGAGACGAACCCGTGCATCGACCTTATGGCGATACATTTCACTGTCTTTTTCGTCTTTTCAACTTCGGTACTTTTACGTTCGATTGAGTTACAAAACAACTCGTTATACATTTAGAAACGAAAGGCCAACAAATTTGGAACCCCTCCTCCCGCATCAACGAGTATAGTTATCGGTTTCTTGAAACAATAAACTATAGTTCTGTATGCTAATTTTAAAAGAACCGTTTCTGGAGACGGATGTTAGCTTTTCGTCAAAATTTTATCACAAAATGCTTATGAATAAAAAAACTAATTTATTTATTTAAATTACTCGAATTTATGTTTTAGACCACTGACAACAAATAACCATGTATCTTGTGTTCAATTTTCAAGCATTTCTCTCAAATCATTTAATTTAAATAACATCCACCTACCAAATAATAATACATAATAGAAAAACATGAAAATATCGAATACCTAAATAAATAACCTAAAAATAGCCAGAATGTATTGTAAACCTTACCACTTTGACGAAAGACTAATATAAATATTTAGTAAAAATTCCAAGTGTCTATAATAATTTTTTATCGAAAAAAACAAAAACACTAAATGCTGTACACTTTGTCGTTTTTTCTACGTTTTTCCCAGGTTTTTCGTAATTATTGTTGAAAATATTTAAACTACTAAAAATGGACTTTTTTGTAGTTTTTCCATAATGAATGAAAACCGATAAAAAACCTAGATAGAACGGGGAAATTTAATACGACAATATTTTTATTATTTTTAATTTTGTTTAGACTCTTAGCGAAGCGACGAATGTATTGGTTTTACAATATCATTGTAAAAACCAATACGAAAAATGGTTCTTTCCAATTTTTTTTTTTTTTTTTTTGGTCCATTCAAAAATATTTGTGGAAACTCGAAATTCGAAGAGAAAACTTATGTTTGTCTTTTCTAAAAATGTTAACCATTATTGAGCTGTTTATAGATATTTTAATTTTGTGAGTTATTTACGTAATATTTTTCGGTAGGTACTATGTGGATAAAATTGTTAGACTAAACAGAAATGCTTGTAAAGCATTATTATGTTACTAATAATAGGTACCGATCTCTTTGTCAACCAAATCATTAACCGCAGTCCGCAACTATGTCCAATAGTAACTATACGGACGGAACGATACAACTAATATAATAAGTTTTCTACTTATACTTTTAAAAACCTTAAAATTTGATATTGGTCATGGTTAGGGGATTATTGTACGTGAGTAGTTGAAAAGATATATGATACACGGGTTATTTTTATTTAAATGCACAGCGTGCAACGATATATCATTGCAAACGAAAAAAAAAACGATTCTGATTGGAGCAGTGAATAAGTCGTGTTCTTTCCCGTGTTGCCAAGGTAACCCAAAAATCAATAAACAAAGAACCTGAGGAGTGAACTGCTGAAAACTTTGATAAATGTTTCAAATAATGCACTAGGCGAAAAGTTTTGTGGTATGACATGAACAAATCAGAGGATTTTTATTACCGTATATGTGATTTCTGAAAAAACCCTATTTTTAAAAAATTAATAGCTACTTCATTATACTCAGAGTCTAAACAAAAAATTAATGTATTTTAATTTATTTTGCTGTAGGCAATATGTTGTATAACGTTAATTGCCCCGTGGCATATTTCAAGAATTACATGTGATAGTTTTTCTGAATTAATTTGAATGAATTAAAATTCATTTGTTCAAATATACTCATGCGAGAACGTCTAGAAGTGAGCTTTGGCAACTTTGTTTTTCTTATTGATATTATTACTGCAATACAAGTTATGCGAATTTGAAACCGTACACATTTTAAATAAAATATCTTTTTTTTATTGTGATCCCGAAAAAATAAAATACAACATGGCGTATGTAGTGTACATTTTTTGTTTTTTTTACGGTTCAATATACCTGGGTGAGGTTGATGACCTGTGGAATTTTAAATGTCGATAAAATTTGAAATTTGATTTACGTGAGTATAACAATGAGTCACACGGTGCGTGTGGCCAAAAATTAAATTCTACAAGGGAAATATTATAATATTCGTATAAAAATATCAAAATATGTCGGAAGTTTTTCAATATTTCAAGAGTGTCTTTTCCGTATTTTTTTTTTTTTTATTAATTTCGAGTCCCATGTATAGCATACGACTGACCCAATCCGGTGACTCACGTCACCCAACCATGTTTTACATTTGGGCCAGTCGTATGAAAAATTCGTTTTTCCCCCTTTTCTTTTCATCGTTTCGTATGAAAATACTTGTAAACAATTTCGTTTTTTTTTTTTCGATAATGCAATTTTCCATCAACACTACGACCACTTTGGTCGCTTCCCACGTATTGTACACCGGGTATGGTTTTTTATTTTTTTTGAATGTCATTGTATATATTTTCTGTACGCCACAACCTTTTCAATTACTTTTGCGATCCCCACTTTTGGTTCGGTACGGAGACCATTTTTTTTTTTTTCAATTTCGTTGTTGCATTGTTCCAACGTTTTTTTCTTTTACGGCGACACACGCGTTTTCCCGGCATATTATTCAAATATCATATATTTTATCCATATTTAATCACATACAACTTCCAATATACATTTAATAACTATGTCATTCGTTTTTGTAGCTAACAATATTATTGTTTTACGTGCAATTAATAATGTTTGTTTGTTTTTTTTTGTACGTAATAATTGGAAATTTATAAAGTGCGTATTATAAGTAACCGTGTGATATTTTCAAAACATAACACAAACAAAAATACTTTACTCATATTTCAAATTATTATATTTTTATACAATATTGTTTATCATTAAACCCGATATTTCTGCAGCAGTACAACTACGACAGTAATTTTAGTTACGGCCCAAGAATATTTATCGTTGTGTGTATACTATATTTCCCTTGTGAGAACCAACGACGTAGAAATATGTTAAATATTTTGAAATGTATTTGTTTCTTTTTTTTTGTGTTTTACTTACTATCCTTTTGACGATTTTTTTTTTTTAATATTATGGAAAATATTTTAATTAAAAAAGTGTTTGATTTTAATTGTACGCGTCTACATCATAATATTATAGTTTAATAATATTATTTTATATTATAAAGTATATATTTTAATAAAATAACTTAATAAAAACAAGATTATTAAAATGGTTAATACTCGTAAATAATTAAAGTAAATTAATATACAAATAACACATTTTTATGTATACATTTTTTGCTTACATATTTATTTAATTTATTTACAATGCGTCTATATGTATTTTAAAGGCAGAGTGACCATCTATGGTTAATATCCCTGCTGCTTCATGGCCATTAATTTATTATTTTATTTGTTAATTTTCCTACTTCGTAATCTTATAAACGATGGATATAATGTTGTATTGATCTAAACCGTTTAATTTACCACATCACATTCAATCATTAATAAAACATTAGATAGCGTCTAGATGGCCATAAAGTGGAAAAATTCAGTTGTAAAATATTAATACGAATTTATCATTCCATAGTGTTCTGAAGACAACGTATAAATTAAATATTGGTAAACTTACAATTAAGTAATACGGTTTAGTTTTGAATTTCTGTTCAACAACTGTAGATCGATTAGGTCGATTACTAATGAAAAAATACATTTTCAGAATGGTCGTTTGAGTAAACTTCTTTTAATACTTTTTTAGATTCTCCGTGGAGCGAAAATGTATTGGTTCCACTGTAACGTAAGCGATTTTGAATTTTTTTTCGAAAAGTAAAAAAAAAAATGTTTTTTGTTAACTTTTAGATTTAATTGTTGAACTGAGGAGATCAATCATTTGCTTGTTATGTTTTGAGTAAATGGAATAATTTGACAACTTTCTATATAATTTTTGTTGATAACTGGGTTGTATAAAATACAACGTATTGTTTGGCAAAAATACAAATATTTATACCCTTGTTAGAATTGTTTTTGTTACCAATGGTTTATCATTGCGTACAGTTAATATACTTTTAATTACTCTATATTCCTTAATCTTAAATTTCCTTTATAAAAATCCCATCAACCTAATCTAAACTTTTTTTTTTTTAATCGCAATTAATGTTAATTATTTAATGTATATTAATTTATGGATAATTAAATTAATTATTGAGTAACACATAAATCACACAATTGTTTTGAGATTTATAGATGTGTATTAAATCCGGAGCAATTTCATTATATTTTTAAAACTTATAGTTGTATGTTACCTGTGATCAATAAGATGTTCTTTTTTTAAAATTACAATTATGTATGGGTATGCTTAAAAAGGCTGTCCTAGGGTAATAAGTTTAGTCATTGTGGTTGTCGGGAAGTCGGGAAAATGAGAAACAAAATGGAATTTAATGTAGGTATATCTATAAACAACGATAAACCACCGCAAATGATAAAACGATTCTAAGCGGAGTTCAGTTGATAATGATGCTTTGTCAACAATATTGAATATACGAGTATATGCCATATTATGGTAAAATAATTAAATAGGCATAGTCCATTTTTTTTTTAATAATATTAGTTTAATATTCATCCGATTTTCCCGTTTTTCCCATTTGCTGGAAAACTCTTGAGGAAATCGAAAAATGATCTTCCTTCTCAGTCAGATTTTTTTTCAGAAAAAATACAATTTTTGTAAATTGGAACAAGATTTCTGGTAGAAAAGTTGTTTAAAGAAAAAAAAAAAGAATAAACATCTTTGTAAAACTGTAAGCTTCTTCGTTCAACTCAGAATCTAAAATTTTTAAGCATTATCATAGTAGTCTAGCTAACCTTGTCATTATATTTCCCACACGGTAGTTGCAACAATATTCTACACAAGTATTATAAATACTTCGGTCCCAGCATACTCTCATAAAAAGTCAACTTTAAAAAAAATATAATATATATATTTAAAACAAAGTGATTACCATATTGGCTTAAATTATATATAAAATCAATCATTAACGTGTGCTATTTAAAATAATAATGTTCACTAAGTTCAATAAATTTTCAAATTATACGAAATTAGATTTAAAAAAACGAAAAATACAACTTTTCTGATAATATTTTATTAATTTACTTCTACAGTACATCATACAACAATGGAGTCAACGTTTTACAATAATAATATACTTATAAGAACGTGTATGCAAAATGATTATATTTTATTATCAATTTAATTTTTTTTAATTACCGTCAAATTAAAGTCAGACTTCTCATCTAAATCTACAGAAGGGCCCTACCAATAATAGTACATTTCATAATCAGAACAGTAATTTATTTTTATTATTATTATTTTCCTACCTCGTTTTCTCGTAGAAATATGTCGTAAATACATCTTTATAACTTGAATGCAAATATAATTTGTTGTTACTGAAACTTCATAAATTTATTATTCGTTTCCCCACGAAAGAACTGAAGTCGGGGTTAAAATGGTTATAACACTGAGTTTTCGAGTTTTTTTCAAAAATTATTTTTTCACGGATGTCTAACGTTTTTAATTATAATTGATTAGACACCATGCGATTACCTCTTATACAGAAAAAGTGTTTCACCTATTTCTTTTTATCTATATGACTTGTTTACATACCTGTATGTTAATTATTATAATATTTTTTTTTTTCTGATGAGTGCTTTTGTTGATTTTCACGGAAAAATAAATGTTTATTTTCCAGTAATAATGTTTTTTTCTGTTATTTGATCATTGTCTTCGTTATTTTTATAACTGGTTAGTATTAATTAATAAGGTTTTTTTTTTTTTTAAATTGTATGAGTACAGTGATGGGATACTTATTAATCAAAATAATTTTTTTTTTTAATCTTTTTTAAAATACCTAATTAATTATATTACTTGACGCAAAATGATCTCGTTCCAACTTTCAAATAAGTTGTACCTGTATAATAAATTAAGTTTGACATGTTTATTGAACATTTTACAGTATAGATATTAATATATTACTTATCCTAATTGCAAGTTAATCCAAGGAATACAAATTAATGCATTTTTATTTTTATGATTTTATAATATTATACAAACATAATATTATTTTTAATATAGGTACTTCAAATAGTCATTGAAAAAAAAAAAAATTTAAAAATGAGGCCGTATTATTAAAAGGCATTCCAAGAAACAGAAAAGCTCAGACTTAACTTGATTCAAACCTAGCCGTTTGTTTTACAGAAATATTATATGTAAAAAAAACAAATAACCGAATAAAATGATATATATTGTATAATTTTAATTTTTTTTATACATCTATCATAAAATACTAATTATTTTACATAGTCGTTGAAATATAACTTTTAGTATTGAAAACCTGTAGGTAAATGAAATATTGTTAAGGTCACTTTGGTGCCTGAAATTCGTATTATTTTTCTGATTTTATTAAAATAATAAAAAAAAAAAAAAAAAAATGTTGCATTTAAAGAACCTTGGGACTTACCGAATTTCACGAAAAGTTTTAAATTTTTAAAAACATCATATCTTTGGGCTAGCGTGGAAGATATTACATGTTTTTTGCTAAAGTACATTTTTGTCGACAAAACACTATACTTTTTGGGACAGCTTAAGCACTGCTAAAATGGCATCCTACTGCAGCTCCTGTATCGATTGGATAAAAGACATCAGGTGGTAGTGCTTAAATGTTTCGAGTATTATAGTTTCCGAGATACCTATGTTCTAAAAACAGTAATACAATTTCCGGTTTTCCAAACTCGTGTCTATAGAACAGTTGTTGATGTAGAAAATATCCGTAGTATTAGGTACTTAAATCGATTTCATCCGCAACGTGACGTTTCGTGTGTTATAAATTATAATTAATAACGGTTAGGTCAATAATATTTTAGCCCGCCTTCGAAAATTATTTATTGCATAATTATAGCATATGAAAACGCTTTAAGTGACCCCTAGTATATATTTTTATTCATTATAATTTGGATTAGAAAATATAATAATGTGGTTTATGAGACAGTGAAATGAATGCTTTATTTCTCTGTAAATCATTGAACTCAGTCTAATTTTTTTCAAATATAACTTGATAATCATGACACAACCGTTAATACTTCTGTAGGCTAATTTTAAAGGCAAGGCTAGTTTTTATACACATTTAATTGGTTAAAAATATTTTTTTTTTTTTAAACCAAAATAAAAAAAAAAAAAAAAAATGGTGAACTATCACGGAACTGCAAAAGTGTAGTATAAAAAGTATATGAATTTACGATTGAATGATAAATACACAATAAAAAAAATATATTATAAATAAAAAATCATAACTAAAAGTTTAAATCAAAATTCGACTGCGGCCGTATTATTAAAAACAAAACAGATTTACGCGTGAAGTAGTATAGAAATTCTAACTATTTGAAAAACTTTTTAAATATGTTCTCCGGCCATTTCGAGGTTACAATTAATAATAAAAGTGACAAGGCATATGACATTATTGAACATACTTTAGCGTTTGTTCAAAATCGTATATATTAAAATGTTTCGGTTCCGGGCAAATTAAATATTATATATTATTATAAAAAAGCAATCATCCGAAGTACGAACAATACTTATACATTTTATCGATTCAGTATGTCACAGAATAATAAGCCAAACCCGTTTAAGAAATTTTAGATATTACGCAATTTGTCCGAGTAATTTCAGTCGGAAACACCGTCAAATTTGCAAATTTATCGACGTGAGCAAATTGGATCGTGGTAAGTGTTAAGAATTTTTCTTTCCCTGCCCGATGACGAATAAATAATAGAAAAACAGACGCTCAATTGGTAGTTCGATTTTGAGCAAAACCCGGAATGTATTGGTTTCACTCTGTTGTGTTTTTTTTTTTTTTTTTTTTGTTGTATGTGTATCTGTTCCAATCAAAAACATTATAGGACATTTTCCATATAAATACCGTTTTTGTTCTAGAAAATAAATAATGCATTGAGAAAAACATATTTTGATTTTTTTTTTTTTTGTAGTTTTCAAATGGATAAAAACACACTGACAATTTGTTGTATAATTTTTGTTGGTTTTTGGGTTACCATGGCAACAAATACAACTAATAATAAAAAGAAATACAACTAATAATTTCTAATAATTCTGTTCATAATCGTTGTTCGTTCGCAATTGTTTATCGTTGAGTACAAATATAGGTTAAATTTTTCTAGCCAATATACCTTCTCCCGATTCTCTCCTTAAAAAAATAGTGAGAAACTCATCAGCGTTATCATCTTTTCGTGTTTCGCAACTTCATCATAATTAATAACTATTATCGAACGATTAAGCATGATGTTTGGTACTCGATGATTAAGTTTTACATAGAAAGTTGGATACATGCAATCGTCGGAGAATATTTCTATAGGGTAGCATGAAGATTATTATAATGTTATGGTACTTTAACAATAATTTATACAGGTCGATTTTTTTATCATGAACCAGCAATTATCTCAGAGGATTTTAAGTGAATTTGATTTCTGTTTTTCCTAATCATTATGGAATCGTTTAAACTTTAATTGAAAACTACTTTTAATTCTTTACTCCTACTCTTTATACCTTAAATAAGTGCATACTTTTGATTTTCGAATAAGAACCCCTTCCGTTTGAACATAGGTTTGAATAGAGAATATTTTTTTAGGCCTTTTGATATGCATCTCACTAATATCAGATTTACCCTTTATGAGTTATAATAGTTTAAAGTTTAGACTGGAAGAGTAGAGAAAGGTGCATGGATAGGCAATTTATTACATTTTCCTACTTTTTCAGTCTAAACTTTAAACTGTTATAACTCATAAACGGTAAATCTGATATTAGTGTGATACATATCAAAACGCCTAG